AACAAATCATTCACAAACTGCAGCGCGCGGGGAGCCGCGACATAAACAAGGAGGCCGCATTGATTCTCAACGGCTAACGGTAGACAAATAAAGCCGCAACAACTCTGAATACAAACTGTTTCTGTACAGTCAATCAGCCTGCCCTACCGCTCCTGGAAGCTCTCGCCTTGAGGGAAAACAAATCGCGGGTCCCTGCAAGCAGAAGCCGCCACAGGATTAAATTTATACACAGAAGGATCCGGGTGTACAGACAGATGAATGCAGGCACACACCTGATGGCCTATATCCACCTGATGGCGTAAATCCACCTGATGGTATACATACACCTGAAGGTGTACATACACCTGATGGATATCCATCTGATGGTGTCCATACATCTGAAGGTGTACAGGTACCTGAAGGTGTCTAGATACCTGACGGTGAGCATACACCTGAAGGAAATCCAGGGAAAAGCCGCACCTACTCCGATTCCAGGCGTTCCATTCTTTTGGGAACAGCTTCGGGAGGTCGTCGAGCAAATGGCCTGCAGATTTGCACAAAAAGATTAAATAAAATAGCAAAAAGAAAACAAAACCCGGAGTCAAAATAATATAAATATAAACACTTCAACAATAATAACACCAAACTTCGTAGCTTTCGCCTCACCCTGTAGAACTCCTGCGTTCCACTCCTGGATGCGGCCATCTAATATAATCTCTTGTTTTAAGCCTGCCGTCTGTCTTATGCTGCAAAGATAAACACCCATTTAACCATATGGTGACAAAAATAATGATTAATAAGTAAACAAAACAACATTAATACGCTGGAGAAGGCTTGGGGTGTATGTCCATCTCGGCCGTTAATACGCACATTTCTGCAGATTCTTTTGTTCTCTTCAAAGGACTTGCGTAAATCGCAGCAATGGGTATACTCTTCTTCTCTCCTAGCATGCTTCTGCACATCAGTCACAAAGCAAACAAACAAAAAACAGTGAACAAACACTGCAAGGAGGCTCCTCTCCTTGTCTAATTTTAAATCCAACATGCATAATACACACACACTCTCTCTCACTAGAAGCTATTATGCTTAGCCTTTTACTTTCATCTTGTTCATGCAGCAGCAGCAGCAGCAGCAGCA